GGGGTGTCCAAACTTTTTTTCATCACGGGCCACATGTCTAAACACAGATGAAGCAGAGGGCCGATCGAGGGCCATAGACTGGAGCTCAATACAGTGAATAATTGAAATATGTGCATGTTTAATACTTTAGAATAAGCCATCAGTCTAAATCTTCAATATTTGCTTTATCAAAGTAGATTTTCAAAAAAACTTGCGGTAAAAAAGTTAATTTTTAATTGATGCAAAGTAATAGGGGCCAATTCACCTGGAACCCTGAGGGCCAAGAAAAATTTGTCCGAGGGCCGCATTTGGCCCACTGGCCGCAGTTTGGACATGCCTGATATATTCACTTAAAGAGTTTTGCAACATATAATACGTGGAGCATAAATTCAGTGGTTTCTGTACATAAATGTATCATATTTAATAAAAAACAATCAATCATACCATCATATCAGTCATACTCAATCAAATAAACATCCCAGTATAATGAAGAAATGAAAACAGATGATTTTACAGTTTGTTTATTAAGGACAGGTAAATATGCACATGAAATAGAAAAGATTCTGCACTGACTTATTTAACATGCATCTTATTCAGTTTATGTACAACACATTCAAAATCAGAGGTGTTATTACTGGAGCTATTACACTTACACAGTATTAACACGTTCATTATTTAGATCATCATGTTACCTTTTATTGTTTTAAAAATACTGTATTTGCCAAAAAAAACAAACAAACATGTATCTATTGACATGTTTAATACGTTTCAGTTTTGTTTTGAGCCCTCTTTGACTTTGCTCTCTGTGCTAAGTCACTCCTTCTTCTGAGTGCCATCAATACTTACATCGCACTAATGAAGCTACTGCACAAAGTATCAGGTTTGTGAAGTTGTAGTATTTTGTATATTTTTATGAAACTTTGTCATGTGGGGGCATGGGTGATTATCTGTCAGGAGTGTTCAAACAGTTACCGGGAGAGATCACTAGATTACTCAAACATGCACGGATGACACATAAAACATTGTTACAACATGTTAGAAAGCTCCAAAAAGTCCATAATATCCTTTCTTAACAATAAAATGTCCTAGTTGAGCTACCGTACACTGGAGTACACACAGTCACTTGGGTCAGTGTTCCTCTGTCTCCTGGACTTCATGTTGACGCTCAAAGCAGCGTAATGGAGGTGGTCTGGATCATTCTTTTCCAAACAAAAGAGATCAACAATATCATAAATACATGTTCAGAGCGCAGTAGTAGTTGAGACACAAGTGTACGAACACACAGGATTCACAAATGTTGATTGAGTGACTATTGTCTTGTATTTTTCCTGGCTGCTGTCTACCTGTTTTGAGTTTGGACCTATTAGGCCATGGTTGTTATTACTTCATCTGTAACTCTAATTTGTTTTTCTGAACCATTAAAGGCACTAGACTGTCTTATAATGTGAAAAATAGAACGAGTTCTTTGTAAAGTTTGCAGTGGTCCAAAGTTTTTCCTCATTACCCTGTGCATTCTGAGCATGCTCATTATTCACTGAGCTTTTCTCAACTTTCAGAGGCTGAAGTTGAGCATCATGGTCAAGGAATCAACAAGTAGCATGTAAACAGTGCTCTTCCTGTTACTGCGACATAATGGTGTAAAACTAGATGCAGACAGCACTGTATGTGGCTCTAGTCAATACTTCTACAATAAACTAGAGCAAGACACATTTGTGTACTGTCTGTATCTAAATATAGTAAATATAGAGAGTTTTGTATTGTCTGAAAACCAGGAAGTGCATGGTTAGCATGGCAGTTGTTAGCTTTACTGTCAAATTCTGCACTCGTCTCTGAAAGTTGTGAAGAAAAGAAAAAACTCATTGTGGTGAATAATTAGGATGCTCAGAATGCATGACATAAGTGAGGATTCACTTTGGACCACTGCAAACTGTTTTTAAAAGGAACTTATTCAGTTTTTGTTTGTTTGTTTCTTTTTAGGAAAGTTAAAATTAAGATAAATAATGTTTTTAATCCTTTTTAAAAATGATAGCAGCCACATAATTCAACTATCTCTTATTAAAACCAAAAAACATGATGTGGTGTGGTATCATTTGCACAGTTTGCCATCTTGCACAGTTTTACAAAGTATTTTTGGGTAATATACAAAGTGTATTAATAATGTATAAATGGTCTATTCATACTTTGCAGTGAGATCCTGCTAGGGGTGTTTTTCATGTATGTCTATGGTGAAATATTCAGCAGTTACCATGGTGACACAATGCACACATTACACTTCCAAAAAAAAAAAAAAAAATCTTAAAACTCACCACTCGTAGTTTGATTTCATATAAGCTCATAGACACAAACTGAATGACAGAACTAGTCTAAATCATAATACAAAAGTACTAGTAGTAATAATTACTGCACTAATCAAGTCGTGTCATGTAGAAGGCCAAATGATCTGTGAGATACTGTGAAATGTGACTATTTACTTTTGTTCAGGAATTAAAATCAGTAAAATGTACCTCTGCGTTTCCTCTTGTAGATAATGTCTCGCTGTCCTCACACGCCGGAGCTGGACGTCACATTATAACATGCTCATTGTGGATTAAGTCTTATTAGTGTAACATTACAAAACATAAAGTCATACCTGTATTCTGTCTTTTGTTTTTCTTCATCACAATGTACAGTGAGAAAGCCAGAAACACAACCAAGACCGAGGTGAACACCAGAGCTCCAGTCAGGATGTAGAAAACAGGGTCGAATGTGGCTGTAAAATCATTATGAAAGACGATGACATGAAGTATTGGTTACTCTCACATGGATTCTGTAAATGTGCATCTAACATCTACATGTAGTGGAACAGAGTCTGATAGATGAGCTCTGACAGTGGAACAAAGCTGAGGGCGATAATTTGAAATGTTATTTGTGTGCTGTGTCTGACTCTCATTGCACCTATGATCTCTGATAAAACTTGTACCACTAAACACCACCTAAGAAAAGATTTGGCTTTGAAAGTACCACCAGATCTACCCCAGATCTACAACTGGACTATTGCAGATTGAACCTGGGGTTAAACATGGTCCTAAAACTGGAAATTGTTGCCATAGTAGTCCACTTTATTACCCCTATCCCCTATTTATTATTATAATTTTTTAAAAATCTATTTATTTATTTATTTTTTTTATTTTTTTTGAGTTGATTGGGGAAACTGGAGTCCAACCTGCTTAGATGCCTAAAAAGTTCAGTATGGCATTAAATGTATCTATCTCCGTGGAGACAGGCCACTCACAATGCATGCTTTTGTGTATCAATAAAACACCTAACATTGAAAAAGGAAATATATATTCATTTAATGTCATACAATAAAAATAAATAAATACACATCTCCATGAGACAAGCAGGTACCAAACCCTCCACCAGAAAAGTTACATAGTGCACCTTAAACACTCAAGTAACAATAACCTCAGCCTGAAATGTACACACACAGAATTTACTTTTACATAACATGCCCCTTTAAATTTTGATTTATCTGATTGAAAATGGCAATGATCTGCTTGGCCAGTCATCTCTCTAGCCTTGTGTTTGATGGAGAATCATAGATGTGACTTTACTTACTTTTCATATTGACCCTGGTGCCGTTCCCAAACAGGACTTGTCCACAGGCGTCCACAGCGCAGTAGTAGGTCCCAGTCTGCTCTGAGCTCACATTGTGTATGGGGAGGCTGTACACACAGGAGTTGGTTGAAGTGTTGGTGTTGTTGTCACACTGATCACTGCTGCCTCCATGACTGTACAGGACTCCTGCTGCAGACTCTTCAGACTGTTTGAACCAGTGAACCCTGTATTGTCCTGCACATGTTCCAAAATGAACTTTACAGTTCAGAACCAAAGAGATTCCTGGTTTGACTGTCTCCAACGCCATTTGATTTATCCAAAGTCCTGCACTGAAATTCTTAATGGTCACATAAACATTCATCAAGAAATGTATATGGTGACCTACACATATGCAGTGGTACACAGCCGAGTCTGAGATTTGTACATTTGTAATTTCCAAGTTATTGTTCCCGTCTTTGTTATCCAGTTTGAAGCGATCGTTGTTTTTAAACTCATTGTAAAACTCACTCTTGTCGAAGTACGATGAAGTCATCCTCAGGGTGTTCTCCAGATTTTGCTTGTACCAGTACAGTTTTCTGCGCATTTCATTTTTATAGGAACATTGCAAAGTCACATTCTGTCCAACTGTGGCTGGCAGGAAAGTAGTTTTGACCGTCTGAACTTTTACTGAAGGCTGAGAATCTCTGCTCTTCACTTCAAAAAAGAGACTGGGGTTAGATCTGGGTTTAGATAAGATTAAGAACACAGTAACACTGTGGAAACTCACCTGTTTCATCCAGATGTAGTAAGAGAAGGACGGAAAGGAGAATCTGCAAAGACGCCATCCTCTTCATATTCTAGTCTTCAGTGAAAGATAAGGATGGTGTCTCGACTATTTCATGAAACAAGGTTGAATCTGATTGGCCAACTAGAAGTGACACCTCACTGTATGCGCTATTCAACGTGGTCACATGATCTCAGTAGTATGGAGTTTGGTATTGAAGAAGTGTACTGCACTACACAATTGTACAAGACGTATTGCACTTGTGTCTGCTCTAAAGTTACAATCTCTGACACCTATGGATCATTATGTTACATTTTGGACATTTTAAATCACAATGTTGATCTAAAATGACTTAATAAATGAACCAAGTCAGCTGATTTAAAGAAACAAACAAAATCGGCCCAATTTATTTCGATTTTGATTATTCTAAAAAGACAATTGACATGGATAGAATGTGTTAGAGTTATAGAGATGTTTGGGCCCCAAATTTCCTGGGGGGAGGAACTTTGGGAATTTTCTGACAAATAAATACCACACTGTCAAACAATGTTATAAAGAATAAGAATCAACATCTTGAGGGCGAAGTATCTGCGTCAACTCAACGCATACTGCCGCTGTCGCCTTGTCGCCATCGTTTGCCATCGTTTTTGATTTATGGGAAAGGTGTATGCGCCGCGAAGTAATTCACCGCCACAACGCTAGGGGGCTAGGATTTAAAACTGGAGTTCATGTACACCAAGGGTCGACAAACTTAAATACTAAAAGAGCCATTTGGAGCATCTCCAACAGAGAGAGAGAAAAAAAAAAAAAGAAGCACAGAGCCACAAAACCCTTTTGACTCTAAAATGAGGATGTGGCTTTGGCTGCAGGAGATGACACTGCTGCAGAGGAGGTGGCCTTGGCTGCAGAGAAAAACTTTCCAGTAAAAGTTTAAACAGTTTGTAAGCATAAATTGAGTCACTCAACACTGGGGTTACCACACTGGGCATTATCTTAATAATAATGGGTCAGATTTATATAGCACTTTTTTGGACACTAAAAACTCTACTGTGCATTATTCATTCACTCCAAATTTTGTGGTGCTAAGCTACTATTGTAGCCACAGCTGCCCTGGGGCAGACTGACAAAAACAAGGCTGCCAATTTGCAGTGCACCACCAAAACAGAAGTCTGAGGATCAGCTTCTATTATGATGTCATTTTAGATCAAAATTGTGGTTTACAATGAACAACATGTATAATTTTGTTCTACAATTTTTGGTATTGATACAATACCAAGTATTTTGGCAGGTCATTGTTTCTGATATTTCTGATACTCTGATAACGGTCTTATCTTAAGAGAATTTAAGTAAATATATATCTAGTATATATTATTATTATTTATGCCGACATAATCCAAGTACAATCATTTGATAGAACTCTCCTGCTTTTGACAACAAACAGCAGTTATAGCAGAACCTTTGAAAGTACCACACAAGCTATGAGTATAGGATTGTATGTTGTATTTTCAGCAAACTGAGGTGTTTTCACATGTACTTCTCAGAGTGTTGGTGAATGTTTATGAAACTAAAGATACTGCCCTTCCTGATTGTAACCACAAATGTTGCAACGACCTGAAGCTTCAAACATACGAGTGTGGAAGAGGATGTCAGAGGCTGTTTCTAAAGCAACAATAAAGAAACTGTGATCATGTCATAACCATGTCTTCATCTTATACTAGAAACTTAATATTTCTTTGGAACCTAAAGGGGTTTATTGCGATATTAATCAGTAAAGGGGACAAAGGGCAGCCTTGTCTTATACTTAAATGCAGTCTATAAGAAACTTTGTCATTTCAATAAGTAAACAAATATGTTTTTAGCAGTATTCTTTCTAGTAAAGTCACTGGGTAGGTAAGTGATTGCACATAGACTTTATTTGTACAATTTTTCCAAAACAAAAAGACACCACAACCATAATTACAGAAATAACAAAATTATGCTACGGAAAAAAATACAAATATATACAATAATAGGCCAAAGACTAGAGAATTTAAAACATTTTAGCAATGATTTCAATGCACTTATATTCTGAATTTGTCCAGAGTGAAAAGGCCCAATCTGCCCTTTTTGGCCACCCACGGTCTGAGCATTGGACTTGGACAAACTTTATTGCTTCATGAGGGCAATTACTTATTATAATGACATAATAACAGTATAATAATAATAATAATAATAATAATAATAATAATAATAACAACAATAATAATAATAAGAGTAAAAATACAAATGGTAACAATAAATTCAAAATAAGACAGCAACTGACCGGTGTCAAATAAGGCATAATCATATAAATGTCTATGTACAAGTAAATCACGTGACCAATTTTACGGATCAGTTTGTCGATCCGCCCAGTGTCCCTTTTACTGGTGCTGCTCCCTGAGCAGACCACAGCCAAGTACAGGGCTCTGACACCACAGACTGGTAGAAGATCTCCAAACACTTGAAGCAGATCTGGTTGTTCAAGGTTACACAGATAGTTTTGTGTCAGTTAACTGAAATGGTAAACAGTCTCATTTTTATATAGTACTTTTCCACTTTCAAGGTACTGAAAGCACTTTACATCAAGGAACTACACACACATCTACACTCGTACACCAGTGCACACAGACACTGGGGGCAAGGCGGGTTACGTGTTTTGCACAACAACAGTGTTCATCTGTGGGAGCTGGAATTGCACCACCAACCTGTGGATCTGATCACTTAACCAATAACAAAGATAACTGAGAGATTTAGATGACTGCCAACCTTTGGTAGACGCACAAACAAATTTAACAAAATGAAATATGTGTGTGTGTAAGAAATAAAAATAAATTGTATTTACAATTTAAATACAATCATTTAAACCCCATTTCCACACTGAAGTAGATACATTCAGTCCATGTGCCGTCAGTCAGTCTTCTACCTTCTTCTGTCACCTGCTCAGCTGCCATGTACTGGACAAGTTTTGGAAAACCCTGGTACATGAAAATAAATACATTTAAACCATGGTAATATATAAACACCCAATTATCAATATTCAGTAAATTCAACAAACCTTTGCCTTTGCTGAAGAACTTGAATTTTGTGTAGATCCTGCCAAAGAAAACAGACATTTACACATTTGAATATAAATTCACTGATAACTTCTCTGTCTCTTTTTTTTTTTACCTGAGCTGTTTTTTAAGCACAAGTAGAAAATCACTCCGATGAGCAGACTGGAGGTGAACATCAGTGCTCCAGTCAGGATGTACAGATGGACAGGAGCAGCTTTCAAAAACACACATTTAAACAGTTTATATATATATATATATATATATATATATATATATATATATATATATATATATATATATATATATATATATATATATATATATATATATATATATATATATATATATATATATATACCAGGCCCTGAGCTATATTCTCTCCTGAGTGACTGAACATATCATTTTCTTAATTCAACTCTTATGCATTGACTTGTTCATATGTAAAAGTCAAAATTATATACTATATAAATTGTCAGATTAGATGAAGAAATGATTAAATTTAAATTAAAATCAGCTAATGAGACTAGTGTCATACCTTCAACACAGACCCTGGTCCCGTTCCCAAACAGGACTTGTCCACAGGCGTCCACAGCGCAGTAGTAGGTCCCAGTCTGCTCTGAGCTCACATTGTGTATGGGGAGGCTGTACACACAGGAGTTGGTTGAAGTGTTGGTGTTGTTGTCACACTGATCACTGCTGCCTCCATGACTGTACAGGACTCCTGCTGCAGACTCTTCAGACTGTTTGAACCAGTGAACCCTGTATTGTCCTGCACATGTTCCAGAATGAACTTTACAGTTCAGAACCAAAGAGCGTCCTGGTTTCACTGTCTCCAACGCCATTTGATCAAGCTGAAGTCCTGAATTGAAATTCTTAACGGTCACATGAACAGTCACCAAGAAATTTACATAACTGGCCGCACAACTTATGCAGTGGTACACAGCCGAGTCCGAGATTTGTACATTTGTAATTTCCAAATTATTGTTCCTGTCTGTGTTATCCAGTTTGAAGCGATTGTTTTGGAAATCATTATAAAATTCACCCTTGTCAAAGTACGATGAAGTCATCCTCAGCGGTGTTCTCCAGATTTTGCTTGTACCAGTAAAGTTTTTCACGCATTTCGTTTTTGTAGGAACATTGCAAAGTCACATTCTGTCCAACTGTGGCTGACAGGAAAGTAGTTTTGACTGTTTGAACTTTTACTGAAGGCTGAGCATCTCTACTCTTCACTTCAAAAAAAGATCTTTAGCAAATAATGTTATACCCAGTGTGTTAAGAAATGACCACAAAATGTGTCTGCGAATGCTTTGATGCACTGAGCGCACTGTTATTAGTGTGACACGGAAGAGGAGGGGTGGAAGAGGCGATAGTGGTCTTGAAGGAGGGGTTAATGTATTTTGAGTTTCTTTCCAGCACAAGCCACTTTGTTCTATAATTGCCACAAGCACCATATCCACATTTATTCTACAACCAATTTTGTTTTCTGTGTAAGTGTGTAAACAGACCTGCTGGTCAAAATATGAGTTATTTTCAAAGTTAAAGACATTGAAAGTGAAAGCATTGCAAAAATCAAAGGTATATTTTATAAATCAGACTTGGAGAGACTTATCCATGTGTTTGTCTCCAGTAGGTTAGATACTGTAACAGTCTGCTCACTGTGAGACGCTGCAGAACATCCAGAACTCTGCAGCTCGGGTCCTGACTTGAACCAAGAAGTACGAGCACATGCGTCCTGGTCTCAGGTCTCTGCACTGGCTCCTGTGGCTCAGAGACTTTAAAGCAGCTCTGTTTGTACAAGTCTCTCCATGGCCAAGCACCAAAGTCCATCTGTGACATGTTAGTGTCATATGAATCATCTGCACTGTGAGGAGCTCAGGGACCAGCCTCCTGCTGGTGCCCAGAGTCACGACTAAACACAGGGAGTCAGAGTTTCAGGTTCATGCAGCTAAAACCTGGAACAGTCTGAACATGTGAGACAGACTCTTCTGTGACTCTGTTTAAATCCAGGCTCAAAATGGTTCTGTTTAACTGTGCAAATGAAAAGTTTTTATTCCGCACTTTTCTCTCTTCTCTTTTAATGTTAATTTTATGATGATTGAGGATTTTATGATGTGTTGATTTGTTTGTATTGTGATTTAATGTGATTGCATGGGAATAGAAAGTGTGTACATTTGTGTAGCTTTTTTGCGGGAAAAAAGTGCGTACCTACAAAGTACTTTTCTTTTCTTTTTTCTCATCCTGAGTGCTTTTATAGTATGAAAACACAGAAAAAAAAAAAAATAATAATAATAATCTGTCCTAAATGGGAGCGACCTTGCATCTTCACAAACCTGACTCCTTGGCTTGCTTGTTTTCATAGAAATGTTGTAACTTTAGCTATAACATTCACTGTATGGTTTTCTATTGTCATGGAGTCATACAGCTGACTTTCCACCTCCAGAATGTTAGATACTGACACTTTAAAAAACATACCTCAGCAGGCTGGCCATGGAGATAAATACATTTTATGACATAGTGTGGAAAATTATAGCCAAAGAAATAACATTTTACACTGCAAACAAGTAAGAGGAGGCAGGTTTGTGGAGATGCAATCCCAGTGTAAGAAATACTCTCACAACAGACGTGGATTTAAAGCTTGTTTATTAAGGACAGTTAAATATGCACATGAAATAGAAAACATTCGTTATAGTTTTACCCTGTTTGACATGCATTTTATTCAGTTTACATACAATACACAGAAAATGTCCTAGTTGAGCTACCGTACCCTGGAGTACACACAGTCACTTGGGTCAGTGTTCCTCTGTCTCCTGGACTTCATGTTGACGCTCAAAGCAGCGTAATGGAGGTGGTCTGGATCATTCTGTTCAAAACAAATTATAGGAACAATATTATACATACATTTTCAGAAAATATTTGAGACACATCTGATTCAGAAATGATGACTATTTGCCCTTTTCTTTTGTAGTTGCTTTTTTACCATTGTAAAAAATTGCTATAGCAGATTTTTACTGTTTCAAAATGTGAAAAACAGAACTAGTTCATTAGATTAGATTTGACTGTCATGGTAAAGCTAACAACAACTAGCATGCCAACAGTGCACTTTCTGTTACTTGGACAAATACTGCTTTACATTTAAACGTAGACAGTGCACATCAGATTTAATTTGACCTCAAGAGCTGCTTAGACAATAGATCTGTACTGGGGAAAGACAAATAAACTGCACAGGAGGCCTCGATCACAAATGTGCTGCAGCTTCACCACGATCCCCTCTGTGTGGACATAAACAGACACACCTAACGGCTTCTTAAACAGACACACCTAACGGCTTCTTAAACAGACACACCTAATGGCTTTTTAAAGAATGCTTCAACTGGATTAATAGTCTAATGGATAATATGAGAAAGCTGCTGTTTAGCGACACAAGAGGTAGTCATAAATCCATCCAACTTCTTCTGCTTATTCAGGGCTGCACAGCAGATTAAAAAGAGCACATGAAGGTCCAAAGTCAGGTCATGCCTCTTTGAAGTTGGGGAGAAGATAATTGGGTCATAAGTCGGGCAAATGATCTAGTGGTGTGGTGTGCTTTAGTGTAGTTTATTCAGGAATGAAAAATAAAGTAAAGTAATAAAAAATGAAATGTACCTCTGTGTTTCCTATTGCAGATAAAGACCCGCTGTCCTCATACACTGGTGCTGTAAGTCACATTACACACTCAGTATAGATACAACTTTATTAATGTAACATAAAAAAGTCATACCTGTATTCTGTCTTTTGTTTTTCTTCATCACAATGTACAGAGAGAAACCCAGAAGCACAACCAAGACCGAGGTGAACGCCAGAGCTCCAGTCAGGATGTAGAAAACAGGGTCGACTGTGGCTGCAAAATCATGAAAGACAATGACATAAAGTATAGATTACACATCTGTCATCTCACATGGACTTATGATGTAAATGGATGTAGGTCCCATAGTTGAACAGGGTCAAAAATTGGTAGATAAACTCTGACAGTGGAACAAAAATGTGGGCGATAATTTCAGATGTTGGTTGCATAGTGTGACTCTCACTGTACCTAAATTAATACTGATTTCTCAATAAATATATGTGAAACAACAAGTAGGTATCAAACCACTCCACCAGAAAAGCTACATGGTGCATATTTAAACACTCAAGAAACAATAACTTAATAACCTGAAATGTACACAATCAGAAATTACTTTTTAAAAATACCCTTTTTAATTTGGATGCCTGGCTGGTTGAAAATGGCCCGGCATCCAAACGGATATCTTGCGTTCCATGTAGAACTATATATGTGACTTTACTTACTTTTCATATTGACACTGGTCCCGTTCCCAAACAGGACTTGTCCACAGGCGTCCACAGCGCAGTAGTAGGTCCCAGTCTGCTCTGAGCTCACATTGTGTATGGGGAGGCTGTACACACAGGAGTTGGTTGAAGTGTTGGTGTTGTTGTCACACTGATCACTGCTGCCTCCATGACTGTACAGGACTCCTGCTGCAGACTCTTCAGACTGTTTGAACCAGTGAACCCTGTATTGTCCTGCACATGTTCCAAATTTAACTTTACAGTTCAGAACCAAAGAGCGTCCTGGTTTGACTGTCTCCAACGCCATTTGATCGATTTGAAATCCTGAGTGAAAATTCTTAACAGTCACATAAACAGTTGCCAAGAAATCCATAAAATGGCCCACACAACGTATACAATGGTACACAGCCGAGTCCGAGATTTTTACATTTGTGATTTCCAAGTTATTTTTCTTGTCTTTGTTATCCAGTTTGAAGCGATCGTTGTTGTGGAAATCAGTGTAAAATTCACTCTTGTCAAAATACGACGAGGTCATCCTCAGGGTGTTCTCCAGATTTTGCTTGTACCAGTACAGTTTTCCACTAATTTCATTTTTGTAGGAACATTGCAAAGTCACATTCTGTCCAACTGTGGCTGGCAGGAAAGTAGTTTTGACTGTTTGAACTTTCACTGAAGGCTGAGAATCTCTGCTCTTCACTTCAAAAAAGAGACTGGGGTTAGATCTGGGTTTAGATAAGATTAAGAACACAGTAACACTGTGGAAACTCACCTGTTTCATCCAGATGTAGTAAGAGAAGGACGGAAAGGAGAATCTGCAAAGACGCCATCCTCTTCATATTCTAGTCTTCAGTGAAAGATAAGGATGGTGTCTCAACTATTTTATGAAACAAGGTTGAAGCTGATTGGCCAGCCAGGAGTGACATGTCACTGTAAGAGGTACAGAACATTCTCACGTGGTTTTTACAGTATGGAGTTTGGTGTTGGTACTGCACTGCACAACTGTATAAGATATATTGTCCAAATCCACTTTATTTCTGTAGCACATTTTACAAACAAAGCAGTTTCTAAAGTGCTGCAGAGATCATGAAACAAAGACAATAAAAAGGTGAATTGCAAAAATGTTTTCATACCAGTCCTAAAACAATAAAACCAGTCAAATCAAATAAAAGCAAAAACCATAAAAATCATAAAATAGATTTTGGATGGATTTTAAGATGAGACTTAAAACTCTTCATTGTGGGGGCAGTTGGGATGTGGGGGGCAGAGTGTTCCAGAGTTTAGGGCCGAACACAGAGAAGGTCCTGTCCCCACGGTTTTAAATTTTGGCTGGAGCTGGTCCTCGGACCTCAGAGTGTGCGGAAGTGTAAATTTGGATGTGGTCCGAGGTGTACTGTGAGCAGTGTTGGGAAGGTGACTTTTAAAATGTATTCCCCTACAGATTACAGATTACACACACCAAAATGTAGTTTGTAACGGAATCCATGAAGTTACTTAAAGTGAGTAACGTAATCTGAATACTTTAGATTACTTGATTTGCTGTAGAGAAGCAAAGATGAGGGTATCGTAACATAAGATGTTTTGTCTGATAAAAGAAAATAAAAAGCCCAAACTTTACTTAACCGTATTAAAAATATTATTAATAGAAGAAGAGACACGTCCGCGCAGCATGATTTAGTCCTGTTTTAGTCCTGTTAAATCCTGGTTTAGTCCTGTTTTAGTCCTGTTTTTAGACCTGGTTTTAGTCCTGGTTTAGACCTGGTTTAGTTTCCGGCAATGAGTGAAATTACCGGGGGGGGGACAACAACAACATGTAATCCATTTATTTTAACAAAGTAACTGTAATCCAATTACCACTCACTTAAACAGTAACTGTAGCCGAATACAGTTACTCATAATTTGTACTCTGATTACGTAACTACGATACATGTAATCTGTTACTCCCCAACACTGTGGGCCAGTCCATTCAAAACTTTAAAAACAAACAATAAAATCTTAAAATCAACTCTAAAATGAATTTGCACAGCAAAATTTTGGACTAACTGTAAGTGGTAAAGAGTGTGGTGGGTGATGCCAGAGAAAAGAGCATTACAGTCATCTAAACGAAAGGAGATAAAAGCTGTTCAAATGATTTAAAAAATAAAAAAAGGTTTACAGTCACAAATGATAAAAGCCAGATTTTACAATCACGTTCACTTGTTCGTCAAATTTAAAATCACTGTCAATAGCTGGTTAATATAATAATAATAATAATCATAATAATCATCATCATCATCATCATTTGTTATGACCCAGCTCGTTGGGGTCAGGGAAGTAATTAAAAAAAAAGTGTGCCTGAACGTGAATAACTTGGTCATAAATGTGTTTCAGGTGAGAAATTACAATTTAAGTGAATATTTCTTTTGATAGCATAAGTTTGTAAGTTAGACGCGTCCTACGTGGTGTGACCTAATTGTAAATTGTGCCTGGACGTGAATAGCGTGGTCATAAATGTGTCTCTTGTGTTTCTGTTACACATAATTACGCAGAGTACCGTATTTCTGGGCTATTAGTTGCTCTGGATTATAAGATGCATTAAACACGTCATTAAATGGTCTATTTTCTAACTTATTTCACAAATAAACCGCACTGGACTTTAAAGGAAACACAAACACATTAATGTAATAAAAGATGCAATGTTTTATACCAGATTTAGCTAAAGCTTGTTTCCATTTGCAGCCCTTGGGCACATTAACAAACTCTCAAAATACAAATACAAAACCATCACTGACTTCGGCCTTTGTTAAAGTGCGTATAACAGTTTTGGATGATGGTGCAATTACGGTAAAACTAAATTTAAAAAGTTGAAGGTTGCATATAATGATGCACTTTGTATCCTAATGTGCCAGTTTGCTGTTTGTGCAGAATAATGTGTACAATAAAAGCTGTGATCAGAAACGGTGTATAAAAATTTGACTTTGAGGATTCACAAAATGAAACTGTAAATATTTTAATAATGCCTGAGTAGAACAGTGTCAGGTTCACCTCTAAACTCTGGAGGCACTGGAGGAACTTGTGTGTTTTCTGCCTATTTTTTAAATGTTCTATATGGACCCACTGTAGTTGGAAACTAGAAAAGCAGTCAGAGAGCGCAGACCTCCGCCAAGGACTACCCCCATTTTTTATATAAATTGCGATAAAATCAGTCTTCTGGATCAGATCCGGATCAGCCTTTGGAATATGAAAGAGGATCCCATTGTCCATCCCTGAGTCAAATTTCATGGGGTTTGGTCAATAATTAACCGAGATATTGAGAAACAAAATTTTTGGCCCCATTTACCACAATGTTAACTAAAATTTCAAAGTGATCCAGAATCCAGGATTTCTTCCGGATCACCCCCAAAATGAAATCAGTTCTTCCTTTTCACATTTCCAACAAATCCAGAAAATTTCATCAAAATGGGTCCATAACTTTTTGAGTTATGTTGCTAACAAACAAACAAACAAACAAACAAACAAACAAACAAACAGACAAACAAACAAACAGACAAACACCGGCAAAAACATAACCTCCTTGGTGGAGGTAATAAAGCTTGACTAAGCACATCCCAGTATCCGCCATTTACATTCAAACCATGCACTCCCTCTTTCATTTAAAAACATCACACTCCACATTTCCACATTTCAAATTGTTCGTGTTGTGTATCGTTGGCACATTGATTTGGTTCACACTTGCACATATGATCAGTGGAAGTTTCAGAACTCTTCTCATCCTCAACACTCATTGCCCAACTACAGCACACATGTTAGAAAGCTCCAAAAAATCTGAATCAGCATCACAGCCCCTCTTAAAGGGAAGCAGCAAGTCACAAAGCACAAACGCACACATCAAAAACAGTCGAGGTGCAGCCATGTGCTTGTTTAGTCCTGTGTATGAACTCTGGAGTACACACAGTCAGTGTGAGCGGTGACTCTCTGTTTTCTGGACGAAGGCTGGACGCTCAGAGCAGCGTAATGGAGGGAGTGCACGTCCTGCTCCTGACAATAATGAACACACAGCAACGTGGTCTTGTGTATATTCACAATATAAATTATGTGCATTAAAAAGAAAAAGTAATAGTAACTCACCCCTTCATTCGTAGCCAGTATTCTGGATTGACATTTGAGTTCTGTAAATGTGTAAAATGTTCTTGTAAAATGTAAGGTCTAACAATGCAGTAAGGTCAACATCACAAACTGACAGAAAAAAAATCTACGCTCGTATAAGGCTCATGGTAATGAGTTAAAAGAGCTAAAACAGCTAAAATGAAGTAATGCATTTTATATGTTAATGTCGGTAATTAAAAAACAGACACCCACAATTTTTTTAATTTTTTTTATATGATATCGTTTGTGGAGTGCCGCTAGGGGGCGCACCGGTAGGAGGAGTTAGAAATTCAAGGGACAGCGCTGCAGAATAAACCCTGCAGTCCTGAGATGCGAAAGACAAATCATCTGTCCCTTGTATTCCTTTTCCAGGTTGGTAAAACATAATTTGTATCACACCCAAACAGTACTGGTGTGTTGTGTGTAAAACGCATTTTGAAGCAATAACTAGCATAGACTGGGCTAGCGCGGGCTAGGCTAGCGCAGTTGTAAAGATGCGGGTGTATTTTGAGTTCATTTTTAGACACGGGGTGAGCTGTTCATAAACTTGTCTAAGCTTTTACTTTGTACATTTTTGTAAAGCTTCAGCACAGAATGTACATGTTAAAGTTGCAGTTCATGTGCAAGTGCAGCGCCAGTGTAACAGTTGATGTCACGAGCTGGTCGCTGTGTTAAGTTGTTGCAGCTAAGTTAGTTACATAATTAGTAATTAATTAGATTTAAATGGTACAATTTTGTTTGGTTATTAATGAATGTATAAATGTAAAACTTTAAACATGTATCAGTAATTTCTGTAAGTAAGATGCAATGGAAATGTTTATTAGAAATTATTTGTTATAGCAGAATAAACCCTGCAGTCCTGAGATGTGAAAGACAAATCACCTGTCCCTTGTATTCCTTTTCCAGGGTTTACCTTCACACCCTCTCGAGCACGGGAGGGGCAACACTAGTGTCATACATCTCTACTTAGGTATTGTACATGCAATTTTAAACAAATTCATGATGGGGTCATTTTGTTGATTTCACATGGAATGACACATCTTAAGAGTGACGGTAACATTTTTAATTTATAGTAGTCAGGGCAAAAAAAAAAAAGAAGCACATTTGATTGATAGACTTTTTTGGAGAAAAAGAGAACAGACTTGTGTTGTTCTAATTTGGTCACAAAGTTTGTGTGTACACTAGGGATGGGCATGATTAATCAATTAATCAATAATTGATCATTAAGAATTTCATCGATTACGTTAATTTTAATCGACAAACTGAATGTAGGTTGCTGTGCGTAACATGACCAAACAGGGGTTTGTACATGTGTCTCTGCATCAGAAGGAGTGAGCAAACACAAACATTCGGTCATTCTGCAATATACCGAAGCACAAATGTGTATTTAACTATGATTTGTACAAGAAATTCCACACTTTCCATTGCGTTCGGGACAAGTGTGAGTCCATGTGCACAGTGCACAAAGCAGGAACATATGTGTCGGTGTCCAGTGGGAAAAAGTTTTGCCAGGTGAGAGTCGCTCAATGTCGATGACGAGTCCCCACCTCCCTCCCCCCGTACGGTGTCCTGGTTTTGACAAACGCAAATATGGTCACACTAACCTGTATTCCACTGAGTCATGTCTTTTAATCCGACAGAAATTGAACCGCATCAGCGACACAAGAGCTGTAGTTTTATCTTTGCTGAGTTTATGCAAATTAACGATGCAGTTTTAAGTTTTGTTTCTGTGAGTGTTGAGCAAAACTGAATTAAACACATTATAATGTCAAACGGGCTGATGTGGCTCTAGAGTGGTTACGGTTTATATGTCGTAAAGTTTAATTTATTTATGCAGATTAGTGCAGATAGTAATAATAATGATGATCATTTAAATATAAAAACGTTAATGATTCATCGATAATCGATCGTTAATTCTTCCGACGATCGATTAAGAAAATTTCATTGAATGCCCACCCCTAGTGTACACTGTAAGTATACATAGATCTTTAAAAACATATGGGTAAAAGACTGTTACCTGTGGACAGAATGTTGTATTTCCTTTTGGCTCTGCACAGTGAGAAAACCAAAAACATCACCAAGACTGAGGAGACTGCCAAGGCTCCACTCAAGAGGTAAATAATTATACTGTGTTCTCCATCTGTGAAACCAGGACACTTTCTAATCACTGACAAATTCCAGTTTCATTTAGACTCTACATTTTTTTTTTAATGTTAGATTATGACAGGCTGTTAAATTACATGGTCTGTTGAAGACAAATTAATACTGTTATGTCATTAGAATTATTATTATTATTATTATTATTTTTTTTTGTCACTGTTCACATTCAGGAGCAGTAACATGTTTTCCTATATACCCAATTTAAACTACTCTTGCCTCGTACAGATATATTGTATCATCAGCTCTTGAGGTCAAAACAAGCTTGCATGTTGTTTTCTTTTACCATCATGGCAAAACTCCACTCTGGTCTTTGACTTGTGAAAAGGGCTCATAAACGTATTGGTGAATGCTTGGAATGTATAAGGTAAATGGAAAAACTTTGGATCACTGGAAACCAATTAAAAAGAACTAGTTTTGTTTTTAAGACAGTAAAAAAAACTAGCTGAGCGAATTCAACGTATCCATACCCGTCAGGCTTTGAGGCATCTGTGCTCAACTTTTTTTTAACAGCAGCATAATTATTACAAGTTAAAAATGATTCAGCAGTTGACTACAAATTTAAAGACTATGTGAAAATCTTGTCTGAGTGTAATATTCAACACAATATTTGGAAGTAACTGAAGCACAATAATAAAAGAAAAACTCACTTTTTATTACAATCCTGGTCCCGTTCCCAAACAGGACTTGTCCACAGGCGGCCACAGCGCAGTAGTAGGTCCCAGTCTGCTCTGAGTTCACATTGTGTATGGGGAGGCTGTACACACAGGAGTTGGTTGGACTTTTTCCATTGTTCTTGCACCCATCACCCACATGACCTCCTCCATGACTGTACAGGACTCCTGCTGCAGACTCTTCAGACTGTTTGAACCAGTGAACCCTGTGCTGTCCTTCACACCTCTCAGTCTGGACACTACAGTTTAGAACCACAGAATGTCCTGCTTCTGTTTCCTCATGTGGAGACTGATGGACTTCAACTGTAGGTTTCAAACTCTTCACAATCACAGTGACACTTTCCAGGAACTCACTTTGGTGTAACAAGCATTGTACACAGTGATAAACAGCAGAATCAGAGATGTTTACATTCTTGATATGCAAGTCATTTTTGTTATTGTCATAATCCAGCTGGAAACGATTGCTCCTGAAAAATTCTCCATAAAATTCACTCTTTTGGTCATACTTAAAGTATGAAGAGATGAGCTCTGGTTTCATGCCCAATTTTTGCCTGAACCAGTAAAGTTTAGCTCCGACCTGGACATCATCAGTTGAAGCACAACGTAATGTAATGTTCTCTCCAAAAGATGCTGAGAGGAAAGTACCCTCCTCATGTAGACCATTCATCTGAACTGAAAAAAAAAGGTTATAAATATGATTATAAATAAGCATATAAATTGTCTTTAGTCTATGACTCACCCACAGAAGCCAACAGCAGACACTGGACAAAAACAGATTGTAAAGGTGTCATCTTCCTCATTTTGTGCTGAAGTGAAACATATTGATAGAGTCTCTTCTTTTCATAGTCGAGCTCGCGTGTGATTGGCGGATCAAAAGAGACACTGTACAATGAGGTTAGCAAGTCGCATGTTTTTCCATTTGTAGACTAGATTTTTCATATCAAGAGTTGTACAGACTAGTGGAAAATATTTTCAGAATATACCACTTTTGATCAGTCCAAAATGCTGCTGATGCTGGTGGTGACAAAAACAATGAAGAAATGTCCCTAATGTGTCTAGAATTTATGCCAGTATTACAATTTGCTTAATGCTAATTAGTACTGATATTTGCATAATACTATCAATACTCACAATTGAACTGAGTCAGTCAATATATCAATACTTTGATATCGATATTGTATGTTCATGTTTCATCAAGAAAAATGTAGTACTGTGTCTTCTTTAAGTGTCCTTCAATTATGCCCAACAGACTTTATAACTGTTATTATAGAGTATTCCCTTAAAAATTCCCTTAAAAAAAAAAAACACTTGTCATGCATGTTAATGGTCCATGCAGCTTAATTTATCTTGTTCAGATTTTGTACTTGATTTTGTAAATATAATTTTAAATATAACAATAGTATATAAGATGTATATTTCAAAGTTGAAAGTATAAGATTCTTATATGAGAAATGTAGTTTCTTGACATAATTCAAGTACAACCTTATGATAGAACTCTCCTGACTTTCATATTACTGCTTTTGTGAAGGCGCAAACACAAGCTGTAGCTGAACTACTTAACCATTTATTTTTAGCTCACAGAGATATCTTTATGAAACTAAAGAGTATGACATGACCTGATTATAACCACAAATGATGCAAAGACCTGAAGCTTCAAACAGGCGAGTACGGTAGAGGATGTCAGTGTCTGTTTCTAAAGCAATAATGCATCTTTTGTAACAATGATCATGTTGTAAACATTACTTTTGCTTGTATTAGAAACTTAATTTTGCTTTGCTCCTAAAATGTGATATTAAACTGTAAAGGGGTTAAAGGGCAGCCTTGTGTTGTCCTTACACACAGCCTATAGAAAACTTTGCAGTTCAGTAAGTAAACAAAAAAAAAAAAGTTGTTGTACAAGGTTATATGGAGAGTTTTTTCAGCTAATTTAACTAAATATAATGAAGTTGTACCAGAACTGATAAATATCTGTTCCAGTAGATTAATTGCCAGTAAAATAAATGTAGGATTATGTAAGTCTCTCGCACTGTCTTTCTTGGAGCACCAGTGTTTTATTTACAAAGTTGCTACTTTTCGGCCCTAATGCCTCTTCGTGCAAAACTTTATGTACACAGTTCATATGAACACCAAGGCACCAAGCCACATTCGGTATTACATTTTACTCAGGGTCAGGATACAACAGACACAGCACACAGCACCGGCACAGCACAGCTCCTACACACCTTTCTCACAGGGTTGTGGACCTACCAGTCATTGGTTTTCTCTGACAAAATGTCTTGTATATTCTCCACCAGCTTCATAAATCTGCCCCATCACCAAATCTTCAACCAACAAGGTCCACAAAGGACATAAATTCTTTCAGAAGAATTTATCCACAACTATCAAGGTAAGAAAGATGAAAGCTTAAAGGTGAACTACGATGACACATTAATGAACGACTCCGGCAGGACTTCCAGCCGTTGTGAAAAGGTCTATAACAGGCTCCAGCACTACCATAGACTATATATACTGTATAACCACTACACACTGGGCTAACACAACAACCTGTTTACTACTCTGTCTGCATATCCAGGTCTAACAGCACAAAACATTATGTGGACACTCACAAAGGACTGTATTTCAACTGCTAACACTAAACTATAGCACGCACTGCATTATTGTGTCTTAAGAGCCCAGTCTCATCACAGACTCGTAGAGTTGGTGCTGCCCCTGTTAAGCGGGACACCACATAATTCACAGAAAACATACCCTGAAGCTTCAAACAGGATATGTTTAACTAATGTAAAACTATTTAAAAACTAAAGTAGAATATACCAATGGACCAGAGTTAGAGTAACTTACTTGTTACTACTGTAATTACTTGTTCCTCTGCTGTAATGCTCTTATAGTTACTGTCAGTGTAACAGGGCTCTTTATTTTACTGTGACACTGGTGACAAATTGTGCTGTCTCTGCTCATTCAGAGGAAATGCAAAGATTTTTTTGTTTTGTTTTGGGAAGTAAACAAGACTAAGGCAAGGGACTAGAGACAGTGATAGGCCAAAAGCAAATAGATTGACTGTAAAGTTGACCAATCAGAAGCAGCGAGAGGCAACAGGCTGGTACCTGCTCCAAACTTGGGTATTAGTCTGTGGGAAAGGCCTTCGGTCAACGAGCAAGCACCAGCGGCACAGCAGTGAGTGGAGCAGCGTGCACGCACTCACAGAAAAAAAAAAAAGCTAAAGCTTTTGTCACTGATTCTACACGATTCACGTAGGTCACCTGTTTTGGCTTCAAACTGGCGAATTTCACCAAAAGGTGAGAGATTTTCATCCTGATAGTGATGTGATGATGTTACCACTTCACTTCATAACCAGCATATGAAGGAAACGGTCTTGTTCAGTGCCCATGCTTGTACAAGATGTCAGTCAATAAAATACATTCTCAAAGCAAAAGTAATTCAGTGAGATCCACAACTTCTCTGACAGATCCTCTGTCTTTGAAATAGCACTTTCCATATTTCCTCATATTTGAAGAGGAGAATTTTTGAGCAAATTCAAGGCCCCAGAAATCTGTGATAAATCTAAAGCACATTCACAAGTACATTTGCCAAATTTTAACCCTTGGAAATTTGTAGGACCAACCTTAAATAATTTTTCAGATACAGCAATCTGAAAGTGGCTCCTCAGAAAACTCTGCTCAAAACACGTCAGGGCAGAGTTGACAAAATATTTTTAATGACAAAACTATAAGGAGCTGGGAGATAAAATTTGGGACTTTTCCTGTTGGAAAGTTTGTGAACCTCCTAGAATTTTTTTTGTCAAATCTGAGATGGTTGAGCGGGGGCATTCGGAATTTTCAGTTAAGTTCAATTTAAGATATGTGAAGATGCATGCATGAAACCAGTGAGTCTAGTGCCATACCTTCTGAAGATACCACTCTCAAACAGGACTTGTCCACAGGCGTCCACAGCGCAGTAGTAGGTCCCAGTCTGCTCTGAGCTCACATTGTGTATGGGGAGGTTGTAGATACAGTGGTTGGTTGGACTTTTTCCGTTGTTCTCACACTGATCACTGTCGCTTCCATAATGTTTTTGTAAGAACATTGGCAAGTCACATTCTGTCCAACTGTGGCAGGCAGGAACCTAATCCTAAGCCTAACTTTCACTGAAGGCTGAGAATGTCTGCTCTTCATTCAGAAAAAGAGACTGGGGTTATCTGTCCTATATATCAGTGTTTCACTAACTTTTTTTTCTGGGGACCCATATTTTAAAAGTCACAAATCTTTGCGATCCAAGTCAAGAGACATTATTTGTAAATCACAAAATAAATTAGTGACCATTATTGAACATTAATGAGGGTTATTTTATTGTTGACTGTGATTGTGTCTCTGAACCATTAGTTTTACTCAACAATGAAAAGCAGGAATCAGTGATTTTACAGTTCATTTATTAAGAACAGTTAAATATGCACATGCAATAAACAAGATTCAGCATTGTTTTATCTTGTGTGATATACAACTTATTTAGTTTACATACAACATATTCACAATCTTCTATTTTTCAACAAAATGTCCTAGCTGAGCTACCGTACCCTGGAGTACACACAGTCACATGGGTCAGTGTTCCTCTGTCTCCTGGACTTCATGTTGACGCTCAAAGCAGCGTAATGGAGGTGGTCTGGATCAGTCTGTTCAAAACAAATAACATGAACAATATTATACATACAGTTTCAGAAAATATTTGAGACACATGTACTTAAACACACAAGATTCAGAAATGATCACTGAGTGACTATTTGCTCTAGTTCATTAGAGCAGAGTTGACTGTCAACAACTAGCATGATAACAGTGCTCTTTCTATTACTCTGACCAATAACGCTTTATTATTAGATGTAATAATGAAGATGGTCACGATGGTGCCTGTGTGTGTGGCCTGTCCTCTGTTTCTGTGCTCTGTACTTGGCCATGAATCTTTCTGTCCACCACTGCTTTCTGGAATACCATGGTAAACGCGAAGGCAAATTTGTAAAACTGAGCAGCGCGTCGTCAAGGATCTAAGGGCCCCGCGGACCTCAAACACAGACATACCTATAGTGACCACATTGGACTTAAGGGATGAGGACCTTTCCGGATCCCTCTGCTTTCTCCTCTGCTGTCCCCTATGATGACCCCCCCTACTGCCAGACCTGCCCTTTCGTGTCCTGGCTACAATCCAAAGGCTCTGCCAAAACAGTAATTTGCTCCGAGCCGAGCTGCTCTGAACCAAGCCAGCAAAACTCCAAAGCCAAGAAGCGGCACCAAAAGGGAGACACAGTATGATGAGAAGAATGTGCCTGGTTAGGGTCAGTATATTTTCACATGTCTCTTTTTAAACAGCTCTCCAAGGGTGCATTTCCTTATTAAAGTTCCTGCTGCATTTTTGTAGAGGATCTCCTGGTACGTTTTACCAGCAGGGTCCAGACAAAGGGGGTCACCACAAAAAAAAAAAAAAAAATAAGGCCTCCAATGCACAACAGAGAGTTCAGTCTGTCCGGGAGTGAGGCGGTGTCCCTAGGAGAGAGCTACTCTTCCTCAGACCATGAGAGGATCTCTGAGGAAGGACTGTATGTTAAAGGTGCAGTTAGCAAATGCAGCTGTGGCCTAGAGCTTAGGAAGTTGTTCGTGTGATCTGTGACCAGAGGGTTGCAGGTTCAAATCCTTCATGACTGAAATGCCTCTTGAACAAGACCACTGCTCCAGGGATTGTAAGTGTAAGTGGCTCTGGAGAAGTGTAATGTCATGGAGTGAATGTTGGTGATGGTCACTTCTGTGCTCATTTGTGTCAAATCCTAAATAATATGACTTTTTGAAAATATTTCAGTGCGGTCCAGGCTTGGAGGGGCAAGGGGCTGGCCCCCACCACAATTAAGAAGAAACTGACGGACGTGTCAGTCTTCTAGAAGTGGGTGGGGTCCACATGGCCTGAAGGTGTTTCAGATTCCCTGTCAAACATTGTCAGCTCCCCTGTTACCACCTTTAAAAAGTTTAATTATCCCAATTCTTGGCTTTAAAAAAAGCTCCCCTCAGGTCCCTAGCCTCCCAGATTCCCCTCCACAAGCCCCCCGAGTCAGTTCCCCTGCTATTTGCCTCAGAGAGACCACTCCCCCAATTCAAGGCCCTCCACAATTTGAAGGCCCTCATCTTCCCTCCTCTGCTACCATCCGATTACAAGCCCTTCACAATTCCTTCCCCAATTTGAAGACAACTACCCCTAAAATTCCCTTCATCAAGCGTAAACATTCATCTATAAAACTTTAATTCCTAATTTCTATAAATTTCTTTAAAAGAAATGTTTGGACAATTCCAGTTCTAAAGAATTGTGGGCTCCATAATGTGAAATTTTAGAATCTTGTGTTGTTTTTAACATTTCTGGCTATGACCCTAAGTATTTGTTTTTCTAAAATCAAAATTTTTATGTTTATGTAACTGTTATTTTATATTTTTTAAATAAAAATGTTTAAACTCTGGACATTGTTTCTCTGATTTTGACAAGTAACATTGGCATTCCCATGTCTTGGAATTGGTGACTTGGAAACCCTAATTTTCACACCAGCAGACATACAAATCTGGAATACTTGGTTAACCTTTGAGCTAGATGAAAATTGAGCAAGAAGAAGAAGAAGCAAATTGTCTTGGAAGTGATGCTTTTGCAGTGGCTGCTCCGAGGCTGTAGAATCAGCTCCCTCTGCACATCAGACTGACCCTCTTTTTTTAAATCGTTCTTAAATCCCTCTTAAAAACTCACTTTTTCTCCTTGGCTTTTAACTCAGTTTGAGTGTTGACTTTTTACCTGTATTTGTGTTATATTATATTTACCTGTACCTGTCACTGTGTTTGTCTCTGTTTGTTATGTGTTTGTGTACAGCACTCATCGACCTGTGTTGTTTTTAAAGCGCTCTATAAATAATGTCGAGTTGAATTTAGGGGTGTAACGGTACATGTGTTCATGCCGAACCATTTCAGTACGGGATGTTTGATTCAGTGCAGGGCTGTACACGAGTGAGTTTGCGCAAATTGTGTGTGTTTACATTCAGCCATTACATGTGCAGCTACACAGAGGCTCGGCTCTTTAATATTCATGAGGGAACTCGTCTGTGATTGGGGCAGTGTTTCCTGCAGCGCTTTATAGTTTGGGCAGCCGCCTTGACAACGTCCCTCAAACCACATGAATACTTGCAAAGCTACAGTCGTCCTACCTCAGTCCTCACTTTCACCTTTTTTCTGGCCAAAAATCTGAAGACTAAGAGTAAAAGTTCATGCTGGAACTGCTTTAGTTCTTGAAAAGTTGTGGTTACTGTTTACAAGGATTTTTTATTATTTTTTTTTATAATATTTCATACATTTGCTGCTTATTTAAGAATATTTAATTTCACTTATTAGTATTGCCAAGCAGCACTGTGCATTTATTTTATTTTCCCGTTTGTATCATGTTAAAACAAATTATAAACAAGCAAATGGTTTTGCATTTTGTTTCCATACCGTACTGAAAATGAACCGAACCGTGACCTCAAAACCGAGGGACGTACTGAACTGTGACTTTTGTACCGTTACACCACTAGTTGAGATGTAAACTGCACACAACAGACCTATTTTGACCTCAAGAGCTGCTTAGACAATATATCTGTACTGGGGCAGGACAAAGAAGCATTTCATTGTCAGAGAATCAGGACGTGCACGGTTGGCTTGGTAGTTGCTGTTAGCTTTACCTTGATGGCAAAACTCTGGTCTTTGAAACTTGTGAAAAGCAATAAAGCAATTCACGGTGAACAATTAGGATGTTCAGAATGACTGGATCACTGCAAACCTTTAAAAATGAACAGGAATGTTTTTAAGACAATTAATTGAAAATAAATATATGTTACTGTTTAATCCTTTTGGTTAATTGTAGAAACCAAATAATACATCAGTTTCCAATTTAAAAAAAAATCTGAACTTTAGTTTAGTTTAGTTTGTTGTTCTGGTTTAGTCAGGAATTAAAATCAGTAAAATGTACCTCTGTGTTTCCTCTTGTAGATAATGTCTCGCTGTCCTCACACGCCGGAGCTGGAAGTCACATATATATATATATAACATGCTCATTGTAGATTAACTCTTATTAGTGTAACATTACAAAACATGAAGTCATACCTGTATTCTGTCTTTTGTTTTTCTTCATCACAACGAACAATGAGAAAACTAGAAACACAACCAAGACCGAGGTGAACACCAGAGCTCCAGTCAGGATGTAGAAAACAGGGTCGACTGTGGCTGCAGAATCATTATGAAAGACAAAGACATAAAGTATAGATTACTCTAAATGTGGGTTCTTTATTTAATTTGTATTCAAGAACATTTAAATGGTTGTAAAGAGTCAAAGTCTTAATTAAATCCGAATACAATGTCTGATTATAAAAAGCTGTGTGTCAGTTTCAAATAGATATCACCGAAGAAAAGATTTGGCTTTGAAAGTTCCATCAAATATACCCACGATCTACAACAGGAGTATATCAGGACTACCTAAGATGGAAGATTTGACCTTTGTGCATGTTACGGCCTGATGGGGGATGTTTTGAGTGTCTGGGGAAAGTCCAACAGACATGGAGATGACATGCAAACTAAGTCAAAACCACAACCTTCTTGCTGTGAGACAGGAGTGCATAGCCACTCAGCCATGATAACAACTATTCCCTCATTCATTCTTCTTCACTGGGCTTCAGGTGAACTATGCAGTTTTCTCTGGTGAAAAATTTACCTTATTTGAGATGTTATTGTTTTGAAAAGTTCTGTGGTGTGGCCTTAAATTTATCTCTATGGAGGCAAGCAGGTGACACTAAATGGCAACTTGAGAGTAAGAGGTATTTTTGTAGCAATTAAACTCTAATCAGAAAAAAAAAGCTAGATATTAAGAATGTAACATGTATTTTCGGTACAGGACATTCGGTTCGGTGCAGGGCTGTGCACGAGTGAATCTGCACAATTTATGTATGTTTTCATTCCACCACTACATGTGCAGCTACACGGAGGCTTGTCTCTTTAATATTCACGAGGGAAATCGTCCATGACTGGGGCAGTGTTTCCCGCAGCGCTTTATAGTTAGGGCGGTCGTCTTGACCACAACTGCCCCCAGCCTTGACTACGTCCCTCCAAACCACAGGATTCCTCTCAAAACTACGGCCTTCACGTTGCGGTCCTCGTGTTTGACCGGCACGGAATCTTTGTCCCTAGTGAAAGTGTATTTTCAACCGCTGGGGATGTTGTAACTGCAGCAGATCTGCACTTACTGCACATATATATATATAATATAATATATATATATATATATATATATATATATATATATATATATATATATATATATTTATATTAGTGCTGTCATGCGATTAAAAAAATTGACAGATTAATTAATTATGATCTGTAATTAATTAATCTAATTAATCTCTTTTTAATCTCACCTAAAAATTGCTAATAAAAGCCTTCAACTTGAGGTATTTTCATTTAAATTCATTATTACATTATTGTGGCAGATCAAAAGACTGATATAGAACAAAAAAAAAGTGACTTTATAAAGTCATTTATTGTTTAACAAACTTTAACAGATGCAGTCACTTACATTCCACAGTATCATCATTATTATTACTATTACTAATCTGCAGTGTTGAGAAGGTGACTTTTAAAATGTGTTCCCCTACAGATTACAGATTACATATCCCAAAATGTAGTTTGTAACTTAATTAATTTAATTACTTAAAGTGAGTAACGTAATTTGAATACTTTGGACTACTTGATATTGTCATGCTTTTTAAAACTACATGAATGTAGCAACCGCATCCTGCAAATGTTGTTCTTGTTTGTTCTCTTCAAATTGGCTGTTGAGCCCAAGTCTCCATGAATAAGAAACTGTTTGTTGTAAAGTAGCAAAGACGAGGAAATCTGAACATAATAACTTTTGTCTACTTAAAGACAATAAAAAGTCCAGTCTTTCCTTAACCATATTAAAAATATTATTGATAGAGAAATGCTTTATATATGAGATCACTGGTTTTAGTCCTGGTGTTAGCTCTGGTTTAGTCCTGGTTTAGACCTGGTTTAGACCTGGTTTTAGTTCTGGTTTAGTCCTGGTTTAGTCCTGGTTTAATCCTGATTTAGACCTGGTTTAGACGTGGTTTTAGTTCTGGTTTTAGTTCTGGTTTAGACCTGGTTTAGTCCAGGACTGGGTTAGTCCCGGTTTTAGTCTTGGTGTTAGTTCTGGTTTAGTCTGGTTTAGTCTGCACACAGGAGGACTGAGAGAGCGGTTTAGACACAGGAGGAAGCGCGGTTTACGCAGCGTACGTGAGAAAACGTACGCGACGCACGGGAGCACGTCGGTGTCCACGCAGTAACTATGGAAGGAAACATGGTCCGCGCGTTCTCAGGTTAATGACGATGATGAAGGTGTGTGTGCGTGTGTGTGTTTGTGTGTGTTTGTGTTTGTTTGTTTGTGTGTGTTTGTGTGTGTGTGTTGTGTGTGTTTGTGTGCGTGTCCCCTCATGTGGCAGGTCACTATAGGACAGTAGTGCAGACATCATGAGTCTATGCAGGTTGTTTTCACCAGTGACATTTAAGTTGTAGGCGATTTTATATTTGTTATTTTCTTTTTTATCTCACGTTGGGAGAATATTTTCCAAGGCACAATTTTTTTTAATTATTATTACACAGACAGATCTTACTTTTACATAACAAGCCCCTTTTAATTTAGATTTGCCTTTTTCAAAATATTATTGATTGACTGCTTGGCCAGTCATCTCTCTAGCCTTGTGTTTGATGGAGAATCATAGATGTGATTTTACTTACCCTTCATATTGACCCTGGTCCCGTTCCCAAACAGGACTTGTCCACAGGCGTCCACAGCGCAGTAGTAGGTCCCAGTCTGCTCTGAGCTCACATTGTGTATGGGGAGGCTGTACACACAGGAGTTGGTTGAAGTGTTGGTGTTGTTGTCACACTGATCACTGCTGCCTCCATGACTGTACAGGACTCCTGCTGCAGACTCTTCAGACTGTTTGAACCAGTGAACCCTGTATTCTCCTGCACATGTTCCAAAATGAACTTTACAGTTCAGAACCAAAGAGATTCCTGGTTTCACTGTCTCCAACTCCATTTGATCAATCCAAAGTCCTGAACTGAAATTCTTAACGGTCACATAAACAGTCGCCAAGAACTGGATCTGATGAGCCACACAACTGATGCAGTGGTACACACCCGAGTCCGAGATTTGTACATTTGTAAATTCCAAGTTGTTTTTCCTGTCATCCAGTCTGAAGCTTTGATTGTTTGGGAGCTCACTGTAAAATACGAAGTATGATGAAATCATGCTCAGTGTGTTCTCCAGACTTTGTTTGAACCAGAAAATATTTCGTTGCATGTTGTTTTTATAGGAACATTGCAAAGTCACATTTTGTCCAACTGTGGCTGGCAGGAAAGTAGTTTTGACTGTTTGAACTTTCACTGAAGGCTGAGAATCTCTGCTCTTCACTTCAAAAAAGAGACTGGGGTTAGATCTGGGTTTAGATAAGATTAAGAACACAGTAACACTGTGGAAACTCACCTGTTTCATCCAGATGTAGTAAGAGAAGGACGGAAAGGAGAATCTGCAAAGACGCCATCCTCTTCATATTCTAGTCTTCAGTGAAAGATAAGGATGGTGTCTCGTCTATTTTATGAAACAAGGTTGAATCTGATTGGCCAGCCAGGAGTGACACCCCACTGTATGCGGTAGACAACATGGTCACATGATCTTTACAGTATGGAGTCTGGTGTTGAAGATGTGTACTGTGCTGCATCGTTATATTTGTATCATTTACAATTAAAGAGGACTGAGCTTGTGCTTGTGTTTGCTATATCATTATAATCTACATTATGTGTGAAAGTGTTTGATTATATTTGACTCCCTCTTATAAAATCCAGTTAAACATATTTAATTATCATATTACAGGGTTAAACCTGGAACACAGTCCACATAATGACAAGACCTGGATCTGAGCTGCTTGGAGGAGGACCAGTCCTCACCATGCCACAACTTCACATGGGTGAAGAAAAGTCATACCAGAAGATTGTGATCCAACTGTCCGCGAACTCTGTCCTGTCCTCAAGGATGAAAATGGATTATGATGCTCCAGTAGATGGATCCACAGCTGCAGAACTATGCATACACTTAAGAAATGAAAAAGCTGACAATGAGTACATATACATGAGCTTGAGTATCCCGGTTATGATCAGTTTTTTTTTTTTTTTTTTTTTTTTTTCCAGTATCCTGCTTTTGTGAGTGTTCATTATAAACGCAGTTTCCTGATTTCAATCTCATGGATAAGCCAGTCTCCTGGTGATGTGAAATCAGAATACTCTGACAGGGTTTTTCTGGTAGTATCCAGGATATTGTGGCATGTAGACACAGTATCCTGATTTTTCTAAACTGGAGCTGCAGTGAGTATTTGTGAACTCAAGTAACTGATACCGAAAGGAGCAGCAGCTTTAACAAAATTATTAACATTTCTACGTAGACTTTTTTAAGTGACATTATTTTATACCTATAAACAAAATAAATCAGTCTACTGTTTAGTACAATCACATTTTAACGCCAGTGTCTGTTTGTGCTGCTCTTGAAATAAACTGTAAGACTGTTGTATTTTTCAACAGTTAAAAATGCCTTCCACTGAAGTTGACAGTATTCCAGTCTCATGTTCTTACTTGAATGTATGTGTTTTTTTTGTTGTTGTTAGAAAATTGTTCAAAAGCTTGCCATATCTGTGCCATAGTTACCATAGCAAACAGTCTAATTATCTAGGACACTCTGATGGTGCATGTACACAGGGATATGTGTGTCCTGATTTGTCTGAGCGCACGTAAACGCCACATCCAGAACACTGTCATAACGTGCACACGTAAAAACACTCACTGCCTCTACTCAGAGCTCGCCCAGCAGGTATTAGACTAAAATAGTTTGTATTTTGAAGAAAAAAAGAGACCAGAATGTTTTATTTCAACATTACATTTATTGTTTAATTATGATTATTGAACATTCAAAAAGTGCATGTAACGTTTTTTCTGTGTAACATTCAAACGTTGTAAGTGTGATAATCAACCAGAGGCACTGCACACACACTCAAGTATGAAACTTGAACTGTTATCAAAACATATATTGGCAAAAATAAAATATGAAAAATCAAACATGTTCATTCAAAGGAAATAAACATTCCCTTTGTCATTATAAAAAGGGATGTGAAAAAGTAACATACTCGCATCTGGACAATATTCATTCTTCAGATGTTACTGTATGACCAACGACTGAGTTAAACCCACAGCAGAAGTCTGGGTTATAATTAACTGTCAGGCAAATGCAAACTCAACTTTGATAACACCAGATACCAGTAAATCAGACCCTGTATACAACCACAGAAATGTCTCTACTCTCTCTTCACTAAGTTCCTTTGGATCATTGTTCCAGCAAAGTTTTAGCTGCTCTTTCTGTTGTAGTTTTCTGTTCACAAGTCACATTTGTCTTTGTTTTTCATTAAGGTTGAAGAAATAATAACAGTTGGTTTATTAAGGACAATTAAATCTGTGCATAAAATGGAAAAGACGTACATCTTATTTAGGTTATATACCATATATTTACAATCCTCTGTGTTTAAAGTAAATGTCCTAGCTGAGCTACCGTACACTGGAGTACACACAGTCACTTGGGTCAGTGTTCCTCTGTCTCCTGGACTTCATGTTGATGCTCAAAGCAGCATAATGGAGGTGGTCTGGATCATTCTGTTCAAAACAAATGACATGAACAATATTATACATACATTTTCAGAAAATATTTGAGACACGTGTAAACACAGCAGATTCAGAAATGATCATGACTATTATCATATTTGCCCCATTCCTAAAGTCCTGTACCTGATTTTTACTGTTTCAGAACTAGTTCACTAGAGCAGTGGTTCCCAAAGAGGGGGTCACAACCGCACCCCAGACCCCTAATATGTGTATATATATATATATATATATATATATATATATATATATATATATATATATATATATATATATATATATATATATATATATATATATATATATATATATATCCATCCTTATCCATGCGTTTGTCTCCAGTAGGTTAGATACTGTAATGTTCTGCTCACTGGTCTCTCCAAACGAGCTGTGAGACGCTGCAGAACATCTGTGACATGTTAGTGTCATATGAACCATCTCGCACTCTGAGGAGCTCAGGGACCAGCCTCCTGCTGGTGCCCAGAGTCACGACTAAACAAGGGGAGTCAGAGTTTCAGGTTCATGCAGCTAAAACCTGGAACAGTCTGAACATGTGAGACAGACTCTTCTGTGACGCTGTTTAAATCCAGGCTCAAAACATTTCTGTTTAACTGTGCATATGAACTGAAAGGTTTTCATTCCGCACTCTTCTCTCCAATTTATGTCTCTCTTTTTTAATTTTAATCTTCATGATTATTTATGTTTTGTTTTGTTTTTATTATGATTTTAATGTATTTCTTATTCTGTAAAGCACTTTGAATTACTTTGTGTATGAATTGTGCTGTACAAATAAACTTGCCTTGCTATATATATATATATATATATATATATATATATATATATATATATATATATATATATATATATATATATATATATATATATATATATATAGGGGTTTTTTTTGGTATTAAATGTTAAAAATATATATGTTTATAACAATTACGCAAGGACAATTAGGATAATAAAATAAACTGAAAGTCAAAGTGTATTTAATGCTTTCTCTCATTCCCTCTGATTAACTATGACACAATAACAGTTTACAGGACAACATTATGCCAGTATACATGAGGAGTTTGGATGTTTGTTTATCAGGGACAGCACAATTTTGAGAGTCAATAAAAATGAAACTGTGGTTATTATGAAGAAAAGGAAAAGAGAATGTGGCAGAGGAATCAGCAGAGAGGCCTGCTGATGTGAGTCCAGCTCCCACAGATGAATGCTGTCATTGTGTCCTTGGGCAAGACACTTAACCCACCTTGCCCCTCGTGTCTGTGTGCACTGGTGTGTGAATGTGTGTGTGAATGGGTGAGTGGTTCCTTGTTGTAAAGCACTTTGAGCCTTGAAGGTGGAAAAGCCCTGTATAAAAATGTGACCATTTACCCATTTAAGCAATTTCGATAAATCATAGCAACAGCATAATCCAACAATCTCCATAAAAAACAACAACAACTGAACTTAAGTGTAGTTTAGTGTTGGTCTAGTTTAGTCAGGAATTAAAATCAGTAAAATGTACCTCTGTGTTTCCTGTGGTAGATAAAGGCCTGCTGTCCTCAAACACTGGGGCTGGAAGTCACATTATAACATGCTCAGTACAGACACATTATTAGTGTAACATTAAAAAAAGTATAAATTAATCCATGTATCATTCATTTATTCGTTTTTCAATATAAAACCAAAAATAAGAAAATGAAAAAACAACTGTTTATTATTATTTGTCTTCAAAACCAAAATGAAAAACAGAAGAAAGGAAAAAACAGATAAAGGCTATTTACATGACTTCCGTGACTGCGATGCCGGACTTTTGCGCTGCATACGGAGTGAACCAGGGCTGATCCAGGTCCAGGACCACACCAGGACCAGAGCAGGACCAGACCGGGACCAGACTGAGACCAGAGTGGGACCAGAGCGGATTCCGAGCCTCCGCGGGGTCTGAGCCTCAGCTTCAAGCTCCTGCCCTGCTGTGGGATCTGAGCCTCTGGTCTGGTCCCGGCCTGGTCTCGATCTCATCCTGGTCTGGTCCTGGTCTGGTCTAGGTCTGGTCCCGGCCTGGTCTCGATCTCATCCTGGTCTGGTCCTGGTCTGGTCTCTATCCCAGTCTGGTCCCAGTCTAGTCCCAGTCTCAGTCCTGCTGTAGTCCCGGTCTGGTTCCTGTCTGGTCCAGGACCTGGATCAGTCCTGGTTCAGTCCGTATGCAGTGCAAATGTTCGGCATCGTAGTCACAGAAGTCACGTAAACGGGAAATGGCCATAATCCATTTTTTTCCATTCTTCATTTAAACACAAAATCGAAAACTGGAAAAAACAAATCATTATTCGTTTTTTTTGTTTTTTTTTTTTTTCATTTTGGTTTTGGAGACAAATAATGAAGAACACAGTTGTTTTTTTAGTTTTCTTATTTTTGGTTTTATATTGAAAAACGAATGAACGAATGATACAGGGATTTACATTCATACCTGTACACTGTCTTTTGTTTTTCTTCATCACAACGAACAGTGAGAAACCCAGAAGCACAACCAAGA